TTTTTTAGATTTTTAGAATTTACATATTTTTTCTACATCTGTTATCTAAATCTACAATGTATATTCTACATCTCCCAGCAAACCAATGAACATGCCTTTTGCGAGAGTCCCGCCAAATGCTCGCAAACGAGCTCGCATGCGAGCTTGTGTACGAGTAATCCATTTTTGTATCGCAAAACATTCGCAAACGAGCTCGCAAGCGAGCCAAAAATGAGCTATCCTTTTAGTATCGCAAAACACTCGCAAACGAGGTCGCAAGCGAGCTTGTGTACGAGTAAGACATTTTCATATCGCAAAACATTCCCTAACGAGCTCTCATGTGAGAGTTTTACAATACAAGTGCGGACTGTTGAAAATATTGCAGAGTCATTCCGGTAATTTTACGTAAGCGCCCTCTTTGTCTCCTTTCTCGCACTAACGGCGTTCCAGCTCCATCTCCGCCGATAGAGGGCTCACATTACTTGGGTGAGAAAGAGAGAGAATGAGTAAGCCAGGACGGCACGACACAGAAAAACCAGGCCGGCATTTGTTTCTTATTCTGCCAGATGTTGAAACCAGGTGTTCGGTCGTACATTATCTACGTCACGCGTCACTATAGCTGTGCTCTTCTAACATAACGGTGCTGCGCATTTAGCTTTCTTCTTTCTCTGTATCGTGCGTGGAAGGTTAGCTATGGCAAATTAATTTATCAATTCTGGCTAGAATAATGATTCCATCTGACCCAGATTCGGAATATGGTAGATATTGCGTTTTTTGTATCTTAAAAATTGTAGATGCTACAGACGTAGATGTAGACGGACGGACAGACAGACATGGTTTAATTTATTCGGATATTTTAGTGATGTTTGGATGGTTGATGGTAGTTGCCAGAACTTCAACTTACAATTTAAATAGTTGAATTTAATTTCAAAAATGAAAAAATAAAACTGTCTAGAGGAAGAGGTTAAAGTGGATAAATATATTAAGTTATCAATAGTATGTACATATAATCCAATCTTTAAATCTACAAAGTGTTTTAAGCTTATTATTTTTTGGTTTTAGCCATTTTTGGAATCGAGCTTGTTTTGACTTAAATTTTGGTAGCACTGGTTAGCCCAGTAATTTTTAAAAAGAGAGAGATAGCATGAAAGAAAGCACGCAAAATGCCGTATATGTCTCTCACTCTCACTGCATGCTTTTTTCATAAGGCTATCTCTCTCAGGCAATGCGCCTTCGGCTCTTCGTCGACGTCGACAGATGACGTGTCTACCTATAAAGCGTGCGTTCCTTGCTGTAAGGAAGTTTCGCTGGGGTACAGACTCTCAGTCTGGCCAGGGCCCGATCCACTACAGCAAGATTTTCTTATTTGTTGTGGGACCTCGAGAAGATCTATGTAAATGTCGCACCGGCGCACCGGAATGCGAGGGCGGGCGCATGTGGCGAGGGGCAGTTACAACGGGGAAGAGTCAGACCCACGGGCACGGTGCTTCCACGTCCAGTGCCGCAAACTGGCTCTCCAAACTAAAGGGAAATAGCTACTGGGGAAGGGGGAAGGATCAGCTCTACGGGCACCGTGTTTCCACGTCCAGTGTCGCAGACTGGCTCTCCACACTAAAGGGAAATAGCTACGGGGGAAGGGAGAAGGATCAGCTCTACGGGCACCGTGTTTCCACGTCCAGTGTCGCAGACTGACTCCCCAAGTACAGGGAAAGAACTTCAGTCGCGTTGGCAGTGGTCGGGGCCAGCTTTAGCTCCCAGTTCCCTCCCAAGAGATTAACCCGGGTGAATTTGCTTTATTCCTTTTGTAATTTTATTTAATCAGTCCCTACGCCCTACCTATCGCACCGCACCTACTCACTTAAGTGAAGCCAGCTTACCCTCTCCACGGCCTGGTATTCCGAGCGGCTCGTTTGGTTGTTGCGTGGCTTTCTCTTCGCAGTTGTGGGGCGGGGTGGGCACGGTCACTTTTGGCGACAGGGCACCGGTTTTGTTTTCCGCGAATACGACTGGTACTTCTGGCGATCTCCACTTGACTCCCGAGCCGCACTATTCGAAGCGGGCTCGAACGCTTCTTTTCCAGGCAGCGTCTTGGCAGAGGTACTCGGGCCTTTTCCCGATCGTCCATCGGTATCACGCCGTCTCCCTCTTTTCCATGTGTGGGGGTGAGTCCACCCTCTGCTGAGAGTCGCTGCTCAGCCTTCGTTCCTCTGCTTGCTGCTCGGCCACTGCGTTCTGTCGCTGGGCCGCATTTTGAGCGAAGTTTCTGTCTCTGCTGTGGCGTGCCGTTTCGGATCGGACGTATGCGTCGCTCTCTCCCGTAGGTCGTGGCCTGCTGTGCTCGTTTGTCAAGTGTGACGTCACTTGTTCTTCGCTGTGGCTGTGTGGGTGTGTGAGGGGCGGTCAGAGATGACGAGTACGGTGACTGTTTTTTATTGAGCGATACCTTAAACGACGCCAAATTAACGCACCTATACACAAAAAAATAGAGGACACAAGATATAATTTTTTTTCGACTTTTCCTGAGTTTTTAAAGTCAAAATTTCGTAACAAATACCGCACAAAAATCATCATTTTTGCATTTCAATGCTTTTTATTTCCCAGACGGTAAGCTGAAATCACAAAGTATTTGGGCTTAACTTCTAGCTGTTTCAATTATCTTTTCAAAATAGCAAAGTTTTTTACAACCAGACGTAAGATACTAGAGTTATGTGAAAAAACAAGCGCTACCTCTGAAAAAAGCTTTAAAAAAAATACCAGACTTCAAAAATTCTTAAAAAAAAAGTTCTGCCATAAAAAAAAAACCATAATTCTTTAAAAAAATTTAAAGCCCCATATCTATCAGAAAAAGTCGGTTTGGATCCTTGAGGAAAAAAAAGTTCGATTTTGTCGAGTAGTGTAATCGAAATGGGTACTACCTTTAGAAGATTTTTGTGGTTATCATAATTTATGTTACAATTAATTTCTGTTTCTAACTTTGGTTCTGTAAAACCCTGAGAATTGTCACAATATTGATTTGGCAGTCTATTCTTATGTAATAATGTGTTGTGTGTTTTGGTACAATTATCAATTTCGCATGGTTTGTTTCGCTTGCAATTTTTCATTATATGATTTTTGCAAAGACATGATATACATAATCGATTTTTACTAACATGTTCCCATCGTTGGTCAATATCTAATGATTTAAATTTAGTTCATGTTGATACATAATGGTTAGTTTTTTTGCAAAAGTTACAATATTGAGACTTGTCCTTTTTGTCATATGTTAATTGATTTGAAACAGTCAGAGTTGTTTCTTTTGTTTTACTCTGCCCGAACCCTAATAGCTGCGCTGCTTTAACTTTCTCACCGAGCCATTTGTGAAAAACTATTATTTTCGGTTCATTATTTTTTGTATCTTGGTAAAATTGCATACAAAATTGCAGTGGACTTTCCATAATTTTCAATATATTGCAAGGGCGGCGGAATGTTCGCGTTCGACTCGCAGCGTCCCTAACCACTTATAAAGCCACGGCCTCACCTGGCTTTATCCACCTTGCGGGAGAGTTGTAGATTTACCGAGAAAAAATGTGAAAAATCGAGCGTCATTCTGAATATACTTTGAAACGAAACACGGTCTTGGGATTTTTTTCATCCGGTTTCCCCCGAAATCGCCCACACAGCCCTCGTCGCCCTCTGGACCTCCTCAGAAGCATTTGCCTGTAAAAGGACCTTGATGACCTTAAACCTTTTTATACCCGTACTCAAAAAAGAGTTAAGGGGTCTATTAGATTTGTGGTAAAAGTGGATGTGTGTAACGCAGAGAAGGAAACGTTTCCGACCCCATAAAGTATATATATTCTTGATCAGCATCAATAGCCGAGTCGATATAGCCATGTCTGTCTGTCCGTCTGTCTGTCTGTCCGTCTGCCCGTCTGTCTGTCTTGTTGAGCGCCTAGATCTCAGAGACTATAAAAGCTAGGGCAACCACATTTGGTTTCCAGACTCATGTGATATTCCACTACTACAAGTGTATTTCAAAATTTCGCCCCGCCCCCTTCCGCACCCACAAAGAACGAAAATCTGTGGCAGGCACATTTTTAAAGATACGATAAAACTAAACGATAAACGCAGTATCGTAGAGAATGACCATATCTACCAGTTTGCCGAATCTGAATCAGATCGGATCATAATTATAGCCAGAATGACGAAATTAATTTTCAGTTGCTTCCCCTGACCCCTCCTTCCAACGGCCAGCAACTCATTTTCCTTCTCGCTCGCACACTCTGCCGCGTTCAGTGCGCGAGCAACTCCTAGCGGAGGAGATGTAGAATATAAATGGTACATGTATAATCTACATGTTAGATGTAGAATATACATTGTATGTGTAGATGTAGATAGCTGATGTAGCAAAAAAATGTAAAATGTAATATGTAAAATTTTTTTTTTTAATGCTAAAATTCTAAAAAATCATATGTTCAAATATGTAAATACTGACTGAGTACTGGTATAAGTAGAGTCGCGTCTTTAGAAGCGACTCACACGTTCCTTCTCGTTTTACTGTAATCCTAACACTGTCCTATAGTTGAGTGCCTATATAATAGCTACTCACAGCTATAAGCTATAAGCTATTACAAAAACTAGTAAACTGTATACAAAGATGGATGACCTACAGATAATTTTTATTGATTCGCAACCGGAGGAAGCCATAAATCTGGATTCTCAACCAGACTTCGTAGACCTTTCCCGGATTTTTGGAATTAAAACCCAAAAATATCTAGAGAGGAATTGGGATCCTATCAATGAGACTCAATGGGATGATGATAGTGAGGATGATGACCTAATGATTGCACCTCAATTCGTTTTTGAGGAATATGTTGGCGAGGACTCCATGGTTGAAACGCCATTCGTTTTCCCGGATGATGACCATATTTTCAATTTGATTGATGATCAAAACTGCGGTATAAGGGAACGACTCCAGGATCTACTTCGGGACGAAGATGACGCTGAGATAATAGCAGCTGTTGAAAGAATTGAGGCTGAATCTTATTTATAATATTATAGCTCGATGTATTTTTCAAATTATAATATATACATATATTAAATATAATACTAAATTTAAAAATATTTTGTTTTCAATGTTTCCCTTACTTTTGATTGGGTGAATTTCACTTTCTCAAATGTTTCATCCCCAAGAGAATCATAGGATTCGTTTGAATCAGGTTTTTCTAAGCGGGGATTACACAAAAAGAACAAGTGGATTTTAGGTAGTATACAGGTGCTATTGAAGTTATTTATTGGTTTATTGATTCACCACCAGTAGAAATCGTTTGAAATAGGTTTGAAAGCAGGTATTGAATCTTTTGGTTACAAACGAATAAGTAGGAGTTAAGAAGATAAATAGAACGTCATTTAGAAAACACTCTTTGTCCACTTTGAATAGTAAAAGTGGTTTTGAGTGTAAGCTGTGCTATAAATCTTTAGAGTCAACGGAGTTGGACTCTCATTATGAAATTTGTTCAGGTCTCCGGAAACAAATTAAGGGTGACAGATGCTCTAAGTCCATGGATTTAACAGAGCCCTTACTCTCTATGCTCGGATCGTCGAAATGCCTTCGAAATCATAATGAGCAAAAACTCTAAAACAACTAACCAACAAGGACCGTCAACGTCAGGAACCGCAAAACGTCCTAGAATGGATACTCCCAATGGTAAATATTACCTGTTCAATATGTGGAGAGAGCTACCCTCCCTCTAGAGAAATGCGCCACATTATGTCTGAAAAGCATAAGAATGCAACAGCAGTTCAACTAGAGAACAATACAAATATTATTCTAATTTAATCAAGCTTGAAATTCCCATTAAAATCATATCGTGTTCAATCTAATAAATGTGGTTAGATTGATTTAAAAGAATTGTATAATGATTGCAAGAATGATATAACCAAATTAATGGGTTACTGTATGAGTGAGTACATAACAGTAAAGTTCAATTTAAATTTTAAAAGTATATGGACGCCATACAAGAGTATTTATGAACATGAGTTAATTGATGAGTACCTAAATAATGCTCTTGAACATTTGATAACTCAGAGTAGTGAATTTCAAGAGAAGGACTCTGGTTGGGCAATAAAAAGTTTTAAATATTTTCACTAACCATAATTAAATTGGAACATATACCTGCAAATAAGTACATAGAAGCACCCAAAAAAATAAAATCACGAAATGCTATAATCAATGTCAAAAATGCTGATGATTTTTGTTTCAAGTGGTGTATTATAGCATCTGTTGATTCCTTAGCGTTATGCGTATAAAACTACAACCTTGAATGCCGTGGTTATATGTGTGTTTTATTTCCTAGGAATATATTCAATGTTAATACCAAAAAATGTCCACTACTCTGGTTACATACGCTTCGTTTTCTTTTACGCTCTCGACTGACTATCGATCATACTTAGTGTGGCCATTTTTCTCTTATTGGCAGTGTGACCATTTTTCTCTTACATTAATTATGTTAACAATAATGGTATTCAGGATTTTGACTAATTAGTAAATATTAAAAATACAAATAATAATAATAATGAGATTCTTCACAACATCCCCACCACCGTGAACCAAACCCGCTTGTGATTCACAATACATCTAGCTTTGCCAGCATACAAGTTGGGCGGTTGAGAACTCCAGTGGTCGTCTTCACAGTTGCTGAGCGAACCTGTCCGTCGCGTCCAGCTGTAACTGCAAGGATCATTCCCTTTTTCCATTGGTGTCGATGGAGATTCTTATCGCAGATAAGAACGACGTCTCCTTCAGCCAGTGGTGGCACCGGTTGATACCACTTCGTCCGTCTGCATAAGTCCGGTAGGTACTCATTGAGCCACTTGCTCCAAAATGAGTGTGAGATCTGCTGAGCAATACGCCAGTCCTTTCGTGTTGGCTGGTACTTCTCTTCTTGTGGATGTGGTGTTTGGCTAGAATTGGCAGAACCTAGGAGAAAGTGATTAGGGGTTATCGGGTCGTCATCGGGATCATCCAGAGCAATGTGTGTGAGCGGTCTGGAATTGACTATATTTTCAGCGTTACACATTAGGCTATATAAAATGTCCTCTTTCAGATTTTTCTCAAATAATGCGTGTCCGATGGCCCTCTTCACGCTTCGCACCAATCGTTCCCAACACCCTCCTGCATGGGGATTAAGCGGGCAATTAAATAGCCATTCGATTTTTTCGGTTGCCAACTCATTCGCTATTTTCACATGGTCCAGAACCTGCAATGTTTCTTTTAATTCACGCTCAGCTCCCACCAGGTTTGTCCCGTTATCCGATCGGATCCGTACAGGTCTACCACGTCGTGCCATGAAGTTATGCAACACTCGAAGGCACGTATCTGTCGTCAGGTCTCTGGCGATCTCCAAATGAATCGCTCTTATTGTAAGGCATGTGAATATGCATATCCAGCGTTTCTCTGTGCTTCTTCCTCTTACGACTAAAAACGGTCCCATGTAATCGACTCCCACATACGAGAATGGGCGTACGTACGGAGAAAGTCTGTCTTTAGGGAGCTGTCCCATTAGTGGCGGTTTTGGAGTTGCTCTTAGGATTTTGCAAGTCCGACAGTTCCTAGATACGCGGCGAACCTCCTGTCGGCAGTGCGGTATGTAATACTTTCGGCGTATTTCTGCTACTATAGTATTCTCATTTTGATGCTTCCATGTCTCGTGGTAGTGTTGCACGACCAATGCTGTGACGTAATTCCCTTGGGGCATTAATACTGGACGCCTTGTTTCTTCTCCAACAGCATATGCATTATTTATACGCCCATTCATGCGAATTACTCCCCGTTCGTCTATAGCCGGGGACAATTTCCACAGCTTGCTATCGTTCTCGACGGGCTTTCCAGACAATAGTGTCATCCGCTCATCATGAAATGCAACATCCTGTACGTTGCGGACCACTATGAGCTCGGCTTCCTCAATTTCAGCTACATCTAAATAGCTCTTCCGTTTAATCTTGCGGTTGCACATCCTGTTAACCCAAGCAACAACTCGCACCAGTTTCGTGAATGACGAGAACTTCTCCAGAAGCTCCTTGAACTCTACGTTGACAGTTCCATCACAGAGCACCTCATTAACTGATAGTACGAACTTGCTGCGCATCTCCAGCTCCGTCTCACCTATGTCTGCAGCTCCTACATCCCATAGGTTTCCGTCCTCTTGAAGGAAGCGTGGGCCTTGCAGCCAGGAGGATTCTCGTGTACCAGTTCTGAGTTTGGTGCCAAAATCTGCAGGATTATCCTTGGTGGGCACCCAATGCCAATCCTCCAACTTTGTAGCTTCAAGTATCTCATCGACTCGGTGTCCTACGTATGGTTTGTTTTTTCTATGATCTGACTTGATCCACGCTAAGACAGTCTTCGAATCTGACCACATATGGATACATTTTGGGCTGACGTCATGGACGTCGGCTTAACTTCTAGCTGTTTTAATTACCTTTTCAAAATAGCAAAGTTCTTTACAACCAGACGTAAGATACTAAAGTTATGTGAAAAAAACCATCGCAACCTCTGAAAAAAGCTTTAAAAAAAATACCAGTTTTCAAAAAATTTTCAAAAAAAAGTTCTGCCATAGAAAAAAAAAAAATATCATCAAACCATTTCAAAGCCCCAAATCTTTAATAAAAAGTTGGTTTTGTTCCTTGAGGAAAAATCGTGTTGACCAGTGTAATTGAAAAATTAGGTTCTACCTCCCTCGTTTATTTATTTATTGAAGACTAGCAACTATCTGCTAACATACATTATGATTAAAACTAAAGGAAAAAAAAGTGGATATAGGAAATAATTAAAAATTAGTGGATTGTAAGAACAGGTATATCTTACTGGCTATAATTTTAAGGGATAATTCAGGGGATAGGGTGTGATAAAGATTATTATAATTAGAGCATAAGATTCGAAAAGGGTCGTGTTGAGCGTAATTAGACCTACAGAAGGGTAAACGAAACGGACGAAAGGTACGGGTAGGTCTAAGGGGAACAGAAAAGTCAAGCAGGCCAAGAAGTGCTTCTGAATCAACAAGCCTAACTAGGAGCTTGTGTACAAATATAACGCCGTTAAAAATTCTGCGATGGCGCAAAGAAGGCAGGTCTAAAAGATGTAGCCTCGGTTGATAAGGTGGCAAGATTCTATCCGAGTCCCAGTTAAAATTACGTAAGGCAAAAATTAAAAATTTTTTTTGGACCGACTCGAGAATGGACTGTTGCTCCTTTTACTGTGGACTCCACACACAAGAACAATATTCCAGAATCGGACGAACCAAGGAGACGTACAGTGTTTTGGTGACATACGGGTCATCAAACTCCTTGGACCAACGCTTTATAAACGCTAGAACACCCTTAGCTTTATTTACAGTTGCAGCTATATGGCTATTAAAACACAGTCTATGATCGAAAAGAACTCCAAGGTCATTTGTGCTCGAAATTCGTTCGAGGGCATGATTTCCAAGAGCGTACGAGACAAAATGTGGAGTGCTACTGTAAAAAGTCATAAGTTTGCATTTAGAAAGGTTCAGAAAAAGGAGATTTTTTGAAAAAAAGAGTAAGAGTATGTTATAACTTGAGGAAGGTCATTCACACACAAAATAAACAGAAGTGGACCTAAATGACTACCTTGTGGCACTCCTGATGTAACATTAACGACATTCGACAACACATTAGTAAACAAAGCACGTTGTGTGCGGTTAGAAAGATATGACGAAATCCAGTTTAGAAGATTAGTGGGGAAACCAATTAAAGAAAGCTTGTGAATGAGAAGAGAATGGTTCACGGAGTCGAAAGCCTTGCTAAAATCCGTGAAAATTACGTCTGTTTGCAGGGAGCTTTGAAATCCTCGGTTAATTGCAGAAGAGAACTCGAGAAGGTTTGTCAATGTTGATCGATGTTTAAAAAATCCGTGTTGCGATGGAGATATCAGACTCCTGCATAGGTGTTGCAATTTCCTGGTAATAAGGAACTCAAGCAGCTTTGGAAATGCGGAAAGCTTAGCAATACCTCGGTAGATCAATGTGAGATCTTGAACCCTTTTTGTGAAGCGGAATGATATAGGATTCGTTCCAAATCACTGGAAGACAGGACCGTTCCAATGATAGGTTGAAAAGATATATCAACGGTTTGCATAAGGACTGGGCACAGTGTTATAAAATACAACTTGGTACCTTGTCTGGACCCGCCGAGAATGATATGTAAATCGTTAACAAACCTTCTAGAACATCACTTTCCTCAAAGAAAGGCAGAAAAATGCTGTTGGCATAAGGTAAATGGTAGGGACACGGAGTAGATGCATGGTATTTATGTGACGAGTACGTTGATTGGAAGAAGGTGGCAAATAAATTTGCAATACCAGCAGCAGAAGATTCAGATTTGTTTTGATAATGGAGGGATGGAGGAAATGCATTGGACTTACGTTTAGAATTAACGAACGAATAGAATTTTTTTGGATCACTACGAAAATGTTTACTACATCGGGAAATGTATTGATTATAACAAAGACTATTAACAGTGAGGAATTGAGAACGAGCGGAGGAATATTGGGCGAAGAAAATCATAGATCCAGTATTCTGATACTTTTTATAGAGCCTAGTTTTTCCATTCTTTAAATAAGACAAATTCTTGGAGAACCAAGGAGGTTTTGACGACAAAGATTTGATGACAGGAACATATATATTAAGGGCGTCGTTAATAGTTTCATAGAACGAGTTGACTGTTTCGTCAATGGAAGCAACTCATCCCATGTTCGTTGGTCCCCGTCGACGTATTGGGCTATCATGGTTTTGATCGTCCTGCTGTGGCGTATATGGGGCCGTATGCTCCAGTTCCATTCCAGCTTGCTTGCAGAAGCTCTGGAAGGAGCGACTGGTAAATTGAGTCCCGTTGTCGCAGACGAACCTTCTTGGGACTCCAAAGCGACTGAGTATCCTTTCACGGAACGCCTTCTCCAACTGGCTTTACGAAGTTGCACCAGTTCCACCCATTTGCTGAACGCGTCGAAGAAGACCAAAAGCATCGTATTGCCATGCTTTGACCGAGGGAGTGGCCCGACCAAGTCTGCGCACAGAATGTCGAGTGGACCCTGGGGCTGCCGTGTGTGCATCTGTCCGGCTGGTTTTAGTTGGCTCGCCTTGAACTGCTGGCAGCTGGTACATTTGCCGACGTACCGGGCCACATCTCGATGGAGTCCCGGCCAATAGTACCGTTGAGAAACGCGTGTCGCCGTCTTCCTGATTCCCAGGTGTCCTGCCGTCGGGTGGTCGTGGCACTCCTTAAGCACCTGACGCCTGTGGTCCTTAGCGACGCATAGCTTCCACTGTATGGGGTCTTCCTCCGCTTCCCGAAATCCCGTCCGCTTGTAGATCTGGTCATTCTCCATGATAAAGTCGTGGTGTTTTTCGGGTTCCCCTTGTATGCGTCGGCGTAGTCTTTGTATCCAAGAGCAGGTCTTCACTTCTTCCTCGGCTCGCTGCAGTGTTTCAACTGGGTGTCGTGAGAGGGCGTCGGCCACGACATTCTGACTACCACGTCGGTAGTGAACATCAAACTGGTACTGCTGGAGCTCTAAAGCCCAGCGCGCGATGCGGCCTGTTGGGTTGTCCATGGTATTCAGCCATTTTAACGCCAAGTGGTCTGTGATTACGTCGAAGTGATATCCTTCCATAAGCACCGAAGTTTGCGGATCGCCCCGACGATGGCTAGACACTCCTTTTCGTTGGCGGAGTAGTTCTCCTCCGTTTTTAGGAGTCGTCGGCTGGCGTAGGCGATGACTCGTTCTTCTCCGTCGATTTGTTGCGTTAATACTGCCCCGAGGCCGTAGGCACTGGCATCTGTTTATAGGATAAATCTCTGCGTGAAGTCCGGGCACGCCAGTACCGGTGCTTGGGTTAGCTTTTCCTTCAGGTCCTCAAATGCAGCTTGTTGTTCCTCAGTCCAGTTCCACTTGTGGTCCTTCCTCAAAAGGCTGGTCATCGGCTGAACCACCGTGGCGAAGTTTGGCACAAATCTCCTGTACCACGAGGCCATCCCGAGGCAGCGTCTCAACTCTTTCAGAGTGCCCGGCGGCGCTAACTTACGTACTGCGATGATCTTTTCCGGGTCGGTGTGAATCCCCTGCTCGCTGAGGACGTGGCCAAGGTAAACAATTTTCGGTCCGATGACGCTGTCCAGAGCGCGTTGAAATGTTGCTGGGGCCGAATGAAGGCCGAATGGCATGACCTTCCAGTGGAAAAGTCCTCGTCCCGGTACGGTGAATGCCGTGGCTTCCCTGCTACCCTTTGCCACCGGAATCTGCCAATAGACATTCTTGAGGTCCAACTTCGAAATGTATCGAGCGTTGCGAAGCCTCTCCAGGATATGATTGATCCGGGGCAGCGGGTATGCGTCTGGCACCGATCGAGCGTTGAGTTGCCGATAGTCCACGCACATTCGCATTTCGCCCGTCTTTTTACCGACCAACACGATGGGCGCACTGTGGGGACTTTTCGAGGGCTCGATCCGTCCGTCGCGTAGGAGTTCCTCCACTTGTTCGTCGATGATCTTCTGCATTGCTGGGTTCTTGGGGAAGTAGCGTTGTTTCACGGGTCGGTCGTCCCGCATAATGATCGTATGCTCGGCGATTTGCGATGTCCCGTTGAGTTCCTCGAACTTGGCAAGTTCCTGCTCCAGAAACTCTGCTGCTGCTGGTGTGGGCGCAGGTTCAGGCTCTGTCAGGATGGTGGCCAAGTTCACGGTGGCGTGAGC